TCCTGGATGGGAAGAGAAACGTCTTCAAATTGTTGTTTAATTTAATTTTTTTTTTGGAATGATTATGACCTGGATGACTGAGAACCTTCCCCAGTAAATAGACCATACCAGAGCGTTTGTGTCCTACGGTGTCCCTCACACAGAGGACGGCAGCAAACTGGGCTTACCTTTGACTCTCTTGGAAGATGCCAACAGAAGATGGTCCTCAGGCAGGATATGGGTGATAATGTCGATGGCACGTTCTGCATGGAAACTGGGGGACAAGCAAAGCATCAGATCCAAACGTGTCACATGATCTCATGTTAGAAAGAAACAGGGATAAACACTTCCAAGAACAGGAAATGTCCCAGAAAAAGTTGTTTACAGGCTGAAGAGAAGCTGAGCTGAGTCAGAGAGGTCAGAGGTCAGAGAGCTGCAGATCACAGGGAGGTGGTCAGACCCAGACCTCCCTCTCTGCTCTAACATCAGCCTCTCTGGAACCAAACCACGTCTCAGTGGTTCTACAGGCTGGTTATCCACTGGTTGAATGAATCCAGTCACTGACTTTATCTGCAGGCTTCTGTTTAAACTCATCAGGTTGGAATGAGAGAAGAGACAGAGGAACTAAATACTGGAACAATCTGCTCCTTAAGCTCACAGCTGAATTATCAAAGCAGGAATTTATGCTGGATGCTGTCATGAACAGTTTCCCAATCTGTGCTGGACGACGCAGACTGGGTCAGATCCTCGCTGCACTGCGTGGATAAACAGGACGGAGACGTCCTCGAGGTCCAGCAGTCTGTAAACATGAGCCACGTCCAGCATAATCGTTCAGGAACAGGAAGCAGCAGCATAAAGAGTCTATTTTAGGCTTCAACCAAAGCTTTTCCTATGAACTAAGCAGGAAACTTGATGGATTAAAAATTGGGAGGGGCTTATTTTTTAAAACGGCTGAGAGGCGGAGCTTTGGTGGCCATAAAGAAGTGAAAGTGCTTCATGATCCTGAACCTGATGACACATCCAGGTTCTAGTGCTTCAGCAATCATTACGATTTAACCGCCTCCCGTCGTCATGGCAGACCTGCTCCCTTTAAAGGAGCCATAAATCCTCTCTGCTTCAGGAAATAAACCATTTAAAACCCACAGTGGAGAAGAAGTGCTGATAACTTCTTGACCCTCCCTCCCGTCTATTAATCCCAGTTTCCTCATCCTTCAGGGCGTAAAACGGTTTGAACATGCAGCGGTACGTTAAAAGCAGGAGCAGAGAGACGGACCTGAAAACATGAGTGTAAAGAAGCGCCAGCAGCAGAGCTTTATACTCACAGAGCGTTGTCGAATTTCCCAGAGCTGTACTGGTGAACATACGAGGAGTAGGCCAGATCTTCATGGGCTGTGGCCACATGGATGTTCTTCCCCCCGAACACAGACTGCCGGATGTCCAGGGCCGTCTAACGACAGGCAGCAGCGCCGTGAGGATCACACAGGCTCAGAGCGACATCACACACTGATAGGCAGCTTACCTGGTAAATCGCAACCGATTGGCAAATGTTGTCCACGTTCAACAAGTAAAAACCATAATCTAGCAGCGTGTCGGAGTACTTGGGATGCTTGTGTCCGAAATGCTCCCTGGAAGGCAGAAAACGGAGCGTGAAGATGCGTGACGGAGAACAATGTTTGCTCGATCAGACGCTGCAGGTTACCTGGCTAGAAACACCGCGTGTTTGATCAGCTGCTCCGCTTTTCTAAACTCCCTCTTCACCACGCAAGCCTGCAGCAGGGAGACAGGAGGGAGACAGCAGGGAGACAGCAGGGAGACAGGAAGGAGACAGGATGGAGACAGCAGGGAGACAGCAGGGAGACAGGAAGGAGACAGGATGGAGACAGGAGGGAGACAGGAGAAGGACAGGAGGGAGACAGCTTTACACCCAAACCACCAACCTCAATGACTTTTCCTCACATTTCCAAAATGCTGATGAAAAACAAGCCTTCTTTAACCCATAACTTCAGCATCAGCAGCTGGATCACCAACATATCGATGTGCAATAAATGACATTTGGTTTCAAAGAATGAATGCATCTGTACGGTTGGTCTGAATGTTTGCTGTAAATAAGCTAAATCAGAGACTAAGTGATGCGGCTGGATTATCTAAAGCCAGAATAAAAACACAGGCAGGGTTTTACCTTGGACGCTTGTCGGAGAACATCTACAACTACTTTGACCGGCAGCCCTGGACTAATTTCCTTCATAGCCTCTATGCACCACCTGTATGCCTGGGAGACGAGCAAGAATTAGAAAACTGCTTCCAGGAGTTTAAGAGGCTGCAGTGAGCTGGTCACGCTCCCTACCTCGTCGTAGTGGCTTTTGGCGAAGAGCAAGGCACAGAGCTCGCCGTACAGCGCCGCTTTGTTGGCCTGATGGCCGTGTTTGGCTAGTTTATCCATGTAGGACTGAGCAAGCTTGAACGTCTCCTCCCCTAGGTGGTACTTGCAGTTTCCGTTGCGGACATGAAGCAGCCTAGAACAAGAATAGGGACAGGGTTTATACAGGAACGACTAACTCTAATTTACTGCTTTTTAATGCGCTTAGAAATTATTTTAATGCCATCAACAAGCACCTATGACTCACACTCCATCTCTCTCTGAGAGAGAGAGAGACATCGGGACATTGATGGTAAAGATGATAAAGATTTCACTGCTAATTCTTACCAATGCAAAGTAGAAAGTTTGTAAAGTAATTAAAGAACAAATGAATGAGAGGCGGAGGTCAGAGATGCATTAGGCCATGGTGGCAGCTTTGGCTGGACTCACCTGACGCAGCATTCCACGGCTCGGTAACAATGCAGCACCTCGCTGTGGAGCGTGCACAGCTGTAGGCACGATAGAAACACTTTCTCTGCATCTCCATACCAGCCAGCATCGGACAGAAAGCCTCCTGGAAGCACAGAGGACAGGCTCAGCGCCACCCATGCAGCTGCTTCTGCACGACCGCAGCCTTCAGGAACACGTCCATCATCCATCCATCCATCCAACCATCCATCATCCATCCAT